AAACTTTAATAAAAATATAGATTTATATAATTCTTGCCCAATGCCAGGCCACGTTGATGGCTTCATACATCTCATTCTTTTCAGTAACATATCCCAAATTTTTAGTATCAAGTTGTAATAAATGTGCAAGATAAGCACGTTTGCATTATTAATCATTGCATATACAAAATGCTCACCTTGTGCAGAAGTTGAATATCACAAGCTGTTTGCCAAAGTACACTTAATGATTGATAAGTTCTTTTATCTGGAGGTTTTGCAACAAAAACCTGGCAAAGGCAGAAATAGTAATTTACATTTTACATTATATTTCTGATTTTATTATGAAAACCCTGAATAAACACTTGAGAGCTTGAGGCAAGAAATGCTAAAAGCTGAATCAAGGTACACATTTTTTATCTATAGACAGCTTGTGGGAGATTAGAAGTACTTCTGTGTATGTGTATGTGCCCTGAAATCATTATTGACTCTCGGCAACTGCCTGGACAAGTCCCTGCAGTTTTCTTTGCTATATTTTTAGAAGTGATTTGCCATTGCCTTCTTCCTAGGGCTGAGAGAGAGTAGCCTGGTGCCTTAAATCACTACACCAAACTGATTCTCCATATGTCACTAAAGTGTGCCTATTATGCGCTAATTGAACTTTATTTATTTATTTTGGGGGGGGTAGTATTTTCCTAGCCTCCTCCTTAGAGAAATCTATTATAGTTTTAAAGATACAAAAATTTGTGTAGAGTATAACTACATTTTATATATTAATTATGTAACTGAATTAGCTGAAAATGCAAATATCTGCAAGCTCTAGTAATAAAAGTCAAGGGGCACAGTGAAAAAATGGGACTAAAATTAAATATAAAGAAGACCAAACTAATGACAACAGGTACAGCAACCAGCCTTAAAACTGACCATTCAATATCTTCATTATAGAAATCATGGATAGCTTCTGCCTTTTAGAATTCATTATCAACACTAAAGGAATCAGCAGTCAAGAAATACACTGCTACTCTAGCAACTATTAGAGTAGCAATGAACACCTTAGAAAAGATGTTCCAAGAAAGAGAAAATCCATCTATGTTGTTGGTAACAGTCGACATTGACTTGATGGCACATAATCAATCTACCAATAAATTGAATTAACTATTACTTTGGGTGAAAGATGATTTGTATTAGGAAGTTTATTTCAGTGTTTTCTTGCAATCATTTTTTGCCTTTTATTAAATTAAACAGAACAAAAAAAAGGCGTGTGTGTGTTGTGTATATACACACGTACTATAAATAGTTTTGCTATAAGTCCTGTAATATTTATAATATATGTATACTATTTATTACATATATATATATATACTCTTTATTATTTATATATATACTATTTATAATATAATACGTATACTATTTATAGTTTTGCTATAAAAGCTTCAATAAAGGATGATTATATTTCATTATAATAATCTATACACAATCAACATCTGTAAGCAACTCATGCATAGGTCACAAATAATATTGAGTATTCAGTTTGTTGAGTAAACAACATGTCATATATATAATTGCACAAGATGATCAGTGATCAAAATGGAACACAAATACTGAAAGCAGTACTCTGCAAATCAAACTCTTAGAAATAAGAGTTACAGTTCTAGAATAACTTTAATGAGGAAATGAGATTCAGTTGGATCATGCAATGATCCAACTGAAATGAGATTCAATTGGATCATGCAAATGCAAATAATAGTTCATTTTTCAGTTCATTACTGAAATCTTAATTTGGACAGACTACTCTTGAATTGATAGGAGTTTGAACTGACTAATAATTTCTCAAAAATTTGCCATGGCTTAACTGTGTCATTTAATTTTATAGTCTGGATTCAGTAACAGGGCTTGATTCTAAAATACCTCCAGATATTTGCAGAATACATTTTCCTGGTTACATCTTTCTCCCCATTTCAGCACACAAACAACAGGTAAAATAAGTTGATTATGAAAAAAGGCAAATGTTGCCTATTTTTTTCTATTTGAATAATGTAAATTATTTAATGTAATCTAATGTAAATTAGATTACGTATTATTATACTTCATTTCTATGTCATTTTTTATCTAAGAATATCTCCAAGATAACTCATAAACAGTTACAGGTAGCCCTCATTTAACAACCATCTGTTCAGAGACCATTCAAGTTATGACAGCCCTGAACAAGGGGTACTTACAACTAGTCCCCGTAGTTGTGGCCGTCGCAGTGTCCCACAATCACATGATCACAATTCAGGCGCTTGGCAACTGGCTTGCAATTACAACATCACAGCATCCTGCAGTCACATGATCATCATTTGCATCCTTCACTGTCAGCTTCCAACAAGCAAAGTCAGTGGGGAAGACAGCAGGAGGCTACAAAGTGATCACGTGATGTCATGTCTAACGACCGCGTGGAGTTCGTTTTAATGATGGCAACTGGAATTGCTGCAACTGCTGTCATAAGTTGGCGCAGTCATGTCACGTTGCACTTTATGACTGTGTTGCTTAGTGACAGAGTTTACAGCCCCAATTACTGTTGGTAAACGAGCACTATCTGTATAACATGTGCAACATGTTATAACAAGTCCTAAATTACAAATCCAAAACAAACATTATAAATCCATCAATATATTTTAGAATTATTTTTAAAATGTAATTTTGTTTAAAAGTAAACAAACTTAAAATTTCAAAGTGGACTTTTTAACAAAATTTTTATACAAACCTTGTACATTCTTTCACTGACAAACAAGTTCAATTCTATTCTTCCATAATTATATATAGAGCTGCATTCATATAAAAAATAAATAAGTCTCCAAACGAAGACCCGTTCTTCTTTTCTTGGGACAATTCCAACCACTTTTAGAGGAATATCTGTTTTTAAAATGAATCAAGATGTTCGAAAATTAGAGCAAATAGCCCTAAATCAGTAATCTAGTACTAAATTAGAAATGATTATAACCAAATGAATTAATTTAAGTAATATAACTATTAGCATCAGGCCTTTCATCTTGCCTGTTATGCTTTTTTCATGAAAGCCCACCTCTTATTCAAACGCAAAATATTATAAAAAGGCCCTATCAGAAGCTTAGTTGGCAAGCAGAAAGAGCAACACTCTCACTGGTTATTTTTATATCTATAGATAGCCTTCAAATTCTGATAACTTCAAAAGAAGTTATGGAATCCTTCCTTAGCATGAAGTTTTTAAACTAAAGCCATAATGGCTTTTTGCTTTAGAATTTTTAAAATATATATTGGAAAAATGTAATGATAATTTAACTGATGCCATTTTACCCTTCATGTTGCCATTCTTATATTGAAATGATCTAGTTATGCGATTCTGTCTGAATGTGATCTACCTCAAGTTTACAAGTTCAAGAAAAATCGAATGTACAATTAAAATTTGTCAGTCTACAATTTACATACGTGTGTGATAATATACCTGCTGTCCAAGGAACTTCAAAGATTCCCAGGTTCTTAAAAAGTGTTTCAGAACATAATTCAGACTCCTTTAACAATCCGTATGGATTAGCATCCAATTTTATGAAGTTACAGCACACCACTTCCAACTGGCTTTCAAATTCTTTCTTTAGAGACTAAATACAAGCATACAATTAGAGGGTTTACCAGAACACCTGAAATTCTTGCCAATTACTTTCTACTCAGACTATTATTATCTCTTCAACTATCACTCACACTGGCCACATTGCCCAGGACCAATGGATGCCATAATCCAGAAGTACCAGGAGGGCTTTCCACCCTTGTTTTAAGATGAAAATGCAGGGATTTATCATGGGATTAAAAAAATACCTACCTTTAACTTAGGAAGAAAGGATTTATTACTCTCTAGAGCTATAACGTGGGCTCCAGCATTAAGGAGGCTTCGAGTCAAGACTCCAGGACCTAAAAATAGCCATTGTTTAGTACTCCACTCTAGAATTTATTTACCAGCTCTATTTTTGTTTAAGACAGAAAACAACTGAAAACTTCTAATCAAAAGAAAGTTGAAAACATGCACATTTATCTATAAAGATATACCAGCTATTGCCTAATCCTAAGAGGAGAGGAGAAACAGAAATTGTTCAGCTGCCAATAATGGTATCTCTCTCTCTACCTGGATTTTGAAAATCCACCTTGCTCAAGGAAAAGGTAACACTATTTAAAGTGCCACCCTGTTCCTCCAAGTGGTCATCCCCAATTCAACCTGCTACCAAAGAGATACCTTTTATACCTATGTTACCCTGAACAGTGTTCATGAAACCCCAAAGATAACTTAAAAAAAAAAAGACATAGTTTGACAATTACCAAAATATCAGGAGGTACCAACAGAAGATAAGATATGTAGCTCGGGGTTGAACTGTGGAGTCCTTGGGGTTCTCTGAGCTCGGTTGTTTTCTTGCAGACATTTTGTTACCTGGCTAGATAACATCTTCAGTGCTAGAATGGAGTGGGGTTTGCTCTTTGCTTGTATACAGTAGCTTGCCCTGTCAGTGTTGGTAGCGGTGTTGTTTTCTCCTTGGTAGTTCCTTGATTAGGGTATTGTTTACTGCTTGATTGTATGTCTGATGTTAATTCTGGTGTCAATCTCTGCTTATCTGGGTGTTGATTGCCGGCGAGGAGGTGTTCTGGTCTTTTTGCTAGCTCTCAATTCTTTTGCATAAAAGCTAGCAAAATTTAACAATCTCATGATATTTCAATCACTTTTTTTCTTTTAATTTTTAGTGCATGCAACAATACCTGAAAAGGTTGTTCTTTAATGTAACTCAAGGAGCAGTAGAAATAACTTTTCCAGCATAGATAATTGTCTCCTCGATTTTACAATTTTTTTACAGCAAAAATATTTTTATGCAAGCCAGTTCATAAGATCTGCCAGAACAGATCTCAAGTGGTTTCTAATAAAGAACCTTACCTTTTCAATAAATGCATGATGATACAAACCAGTTAAAATACAATAAAGTTAAGGCAAAAATATATTCATTAGACTAGCTATGTGTATTTCTGGGCAGAGATCCCTTCAGCTCAGTGAGAGTTACATTCAAGTGAAGTTGTGATAAGTCTGTAAAGTTACACGTAATAGAAGATGTGATTCTTTGAAAAGTATACAATATGCATTTTAGTATTATAACACACTTATCATTTTGTAAGTTATAATCTGTGGAGTCCTTGGTGCTCTCTAAGCTTGGTTGTTTGCTTGCAGACGTTTCATTACCCAACTAGGTAACATCATCAGTGCATCAGAAAGTACCAAGGACTCCACAGTTCAACCCTAAACTACATACTGTATATTCTTTTCTATTGAAAACTATAATATGCTGCACGCTGTCGGTGCTGCAGCATAATGGTCAAGATACCAAAGCTGCCAAGCAGAAAATGCCCATAAGATACCCCTGCTCTAATAGGAATTGAGACAAATCTGGTGAATTCCCCACAGCTTTATGTCAACTTTATTATCATCACCTTCGAGGGCACATGCTTAACTTTTACACTAAAAAGAAGTCCCCTGAGTAACGCTCACCTGCCTCGAATTCCAGGAAGAAGGTTCTGGACTCCTCAACATTTCGCCCACTCATCAGCTGGGTGGCCACTTTGCCCGCTAGCGTGGGGTAGCCGATGAACTTTCGAACTGAAGTCGAAACCTGCTCCCGGTTCTTGACCATCCCGGCGGTTTTAGCTTCCAGAGGAGGGCAGGATTTTACCGGGCTGTGGAGTCTGGGTCTTACATTCTGACCCTTCAGGCCCCGCACCGAGAGCCGCAGCCCAGAGGGTAAACCCGAGGCGGCCAGGGTCAACTGCCTTCCCATGAAGAGAGGGGAAACCACCGCAACGACCATCATCGCCACTCTCGAGCACCGAGCGGGCACCAGCCCTCACGTGGTGACCTTGCGGAGCTCGACAACGAGCACCGTTCGCAGCCGGACAATTTTAGCGACGGAACGCCAGCAGCGATTCCGTTTCCTCTCAGCGCTAACTGAACGCTGTTGCCGGGGTTGACATTCTAGCCTTCTGTCTTCATGGCATGGTCCTCTCTAGGCGTATGGTACTCGGTGGTGCACACCTTTGGCCCCTGCCACTGCGCTCGGGAGTCCGCCGGCGGGTGCCAGGTAGCTTTGCGCCCGGTTCCTTCTCTCTGGCTTTCCGATTCGAATTTGGCTGTGCCGGGGCGAGGGGCTTCCCGGAACTCTCGCGAGGTGGCCGCACGCTGAGGTGAGAGAAGGAAAGCGACCAAGCTACTCTCCCGAGTTTACCGCAGCCCTGGGCGGGCGGGCGAGCTGGTGGGGTGGGTAAGAGTGAGGTCGCGTAGAGCTGCGTGTTGCCTCTGAAGTCTTGGCGAAGTACAGCTGGTCCTGGAGTAAGGGGGACCGAGAAACTGGATCGGGTCATTAGCACGGTCGGGGATGGCACGAGAGTCTCCTTCGCGCGCTTGGGCGGAGGGGAAACTGCTCATCAGCCTGGCAGGACGAGGAAAAGCCGTCGTATGTTTGCATAAGAAGAAAACATTAGGGTGGAACGCGTCAGATTCCTGTCTTCTTAAACCTTTGCCCCTCGGCTCGCTGCCTTATCTGTCTGGTAGCCACTGTGGGTCAGACCAATCCCTGTATCTGCTTCGCATTTGCGACCTCCTCACTTATCAACAAAGATTTCCCTGTTTGGGTTGGCGGGAGAGAGGCTGTTTTTTCCCCAAGTCCTCAGTAAGGGCAATCGATTATGAAGCCCAGTTAAGGCGACTGGCTTCTTTATTATGCTTGTGACTCATCTTTCTCCAGAGGTCATAAGGACGGCTGTTGTAGGGGTTATCTTCCCAAGATCACTTACTAGTACAGTATGTCTCCTGTGGAGAGAGATGTATTAGATAATCTTAGTGGTCCTTTCCAACTCTATAATTCTGAATCTGTGGTAACCTATTAGTTGGTGTACAAAATTGGATCACGTATTGAGGCTTGCTTATCTTGATTATGGATCTGTGGCCTATCTACCAATTTTCAAAAAGTGTGCATGTACACAGAAAATACAGATGCCTATTTTACTAAATATAAGATATAGGAAAATGATAACAGCTTACAATGTATAGACATATTATTGTTCAAATGCAGTTTGCACACTTTTATCACATGGGGGTACTTCTGTGTAAATCATTATTTGAAAAAATGAAAAGCATGGAGGACAGTATATTAATTCAGTCTTAAGTTATACATTCATTTCATGGCCTTTGGCAATGAGGTATTAACAGGGTTCAAAAAATATGCTAAGCTAAAACATGGTTGGCTACTTCGTCCTTCAGAGTGTTATGGGAACCCAGGCAGTGTTTTCAGTTTATGATGCATTATACATTAGGATGTGTTGATTCAGCCATTTGATTAATTTAGTAAACCATGATACACTTAATCATAGGTTAGCATGTTGTGCAGAAAGAGTTCATACATGTAGTCCTTCCTTTGAACCTTTCTCAAAGGTTCAGAGAAGCCCAGGCGACTTCCAGCTTTTGAGACCCTTATCGTGATAAAATTAAAATAAAATAAGGCACCAAGAAAAGGGGAGCATAATTTGAACACTTTTGAAATGAAAACACACACATACAAAACTGTTCAGATTTGGGGAGTCTACCCAAATCTGAA